TTCCCCCCCCCCCCCCCCAAAAAAAATAAAAAATAAAAAAATTGAAACGAATGATTGGTTCGTGTTCTGATTTATTCAAAACCCCTTATAATGAAATCGTTTTATTTTATTTTTTACCGCGAGACATTAACATTGGTAACGTGCGGTTGTGTATGGCATAAAGCAAGCTTTAGAAGCCATTAACGGTAATTAAGAAAATACTTTCACAAACATATAAAAACGAATTATTTACAAAAAAACATATAAAAACGAATTGCTTTACAAAAAACATATAAAAAAAATGAGAAATATAATAAATAAATAAAAGATGGTATGGTGGAGAGAGAGAGAGAGAGAGAGAGAGAGACATTGATAAATGAGGCAGTCATATCATCAAACATGGATTTCAGCGTTATTTTTCAAACTTGCCTTCATCCCCGCGCACTATCCTTGCCTTCCGTTGGCTTTCATCTCGTTTTATTTTTTGTCTTTATTTTTAATTCCCCTTGAAAACATAAAATCGTGGAATATAATATAAACATATACATATACATATACATATATATATATATATATAGAGAGAGAGAGAGTTAAAAAAGGTCATGTGGAGAGAGAAGGACAGAGAGGGGATGCAAGAAATAAACCGGACAGAGTGATCACTCATCTCTCATGCTTCAATTCCATCGAGGGTTTGAAAAAAAAAACTCATCTTTCTCTGTACCCACAAAAATGTGTATATATATATATACATATGTATAATCAATATTTAAAAACATAAGCCATGTTTCATGAATCCTTCTGGTTGCATCATGAAGCGTGAATGACATAAAAAAAGGTGTTTTTAATTTTCAAACCCTTCTCCTTATTCCGGCAAAAAATCGATCTTTCTGAAATTCTGAAACAGAGGAATTTATTCCAAGCTGCGGAATATGAAATGAGTTCCTTTTCAGAGTGTTTTTACGTTTTTGTTTTTTCAATTTTTTTTATCGAAAAAGTTGATTTTTTTTTCCGATAAGAAAAAAAAAGTTGAGGGGTCTGTGGGATTGAGAGTTGGGTTTTAATAAAGGCGAAGGAGCGTCGAAGAAAACAATAGAGAAGTAACAGAGAGAGAGAGAGAGAGAGAGAGAGAGAGAGAGAGAGAGAGAGAGGGAGAGGAGGTTAGGTAAAGAAGAAATATGCAAGAGAAGAGGAAGAAGAATGGTAATACCGATGAATCCAAGAAGAAGGAGCGTCATATTGTTACTTGGACACAAGAGGTCTACTTCTTTTTCCAACACACACAGACATATATATACATGCGTATAGAGATACTCTCGTACAAGAGTGTGTCTGTGCTTGATAATCTCTGTTCCATCTCTGATGCCGACGGTTTCTGACATGGGTTTCGTGAGTTGCAGGAGGATAGTGTTCTCAGGGAGCAAATCAGTTTACATGGAACCGAAAAGTGAGTCTCTTTTCCATTTCTCGCTATGTGGGTCTGTCTGATTTCCGGGAAAGTTTCAAACTTTGTTTATGGGATTCTCTGTTTTGACGAGGGTTTTTCCTTATAGAACCTAAGGATCATGAAAAGAAAACAAAAATAAGGGGATTGGATTCTGAAAGAGCGATTAATCTTCTGTATTGTTTGATGGTGTATGCAGCTGGGCGATCATAGCCGCAAAGTTCAAGGATAAAAGCACAAGGCAGTGCAGAAGAAGGCAAGTGAACCGATTCTGTAATCAGATCTTCTATTTTTTTTTTTTTAAATATAAGTGTTTGATCCGATTACGGATATGTTTTTCAGATGGTATACATATTTGAACTCTGACGTTAAGATAGGAGGTTGGTCCCCTGAGGAAGACATGCTTTTGTGTGAGGTGAAACATCATTTGCTTTTGTATATCATTAGGGGTCGTTTTCATGGCTTTTGTCTCATCTCTAGCTCTGTGGTTTGGTTGGGTGAAGGCACAGAGAGTGTTCGGGAACAGATGGACTGAGATAGCAAAGGTGGTCTCAGGCAGGTAGGAACAGAACAAAAGCCAATGCTCAATCACTTTAATGGTGAATGAAATTGGTGACGATTAATCAAGACAGTGAGGTTATATTATATATATATATATTATGTTTGTTTGTGTAGAACTGATAATGCTGTGAAGAATCGGTTCACCACACTGTGTAAGAAGAGGGCAAAGTATGAAGCCATGGCCAAAGAGAACAACAAGAATGCTTGTCTCAACTCAAACAACAAAAGGATGCTGTTCCCAGATGGTAATGGTGTCGTTATTACACAACAAGGGAAACCCGAAGCCGAATCCCCTCTTGCTAAGAAAATGAGGTACCTTTTTAGTTCATCAAATCCGAAAAGAAAGTTTCGCGAAACACCGTTACAGATTCTGCATGTCCTTTGCTTGGGGGTATATCCAGGAGAAGCCACATTCTTGATCTGACAACTGTCGGAAACTATGGGGATAGATCACATGGAAAGGTCGAGTCGGGGGTGAACCAGCAGATAAGGCCTCCGTTTTCGCTATTAACCCGGGACGTGAAGGAGATTGATGGTAAATAACTCCGCAAAAACCCGTCTTGTTCTTGCATATCCTGGAAAATATTTAGCAGATCATTAATCAGAAGTCATTTGATGCTACAGCTTGAAGTGTTTCTGGGTGTTTTTAAGATAACATAATGGTAATAACAGGTCAGGAGGATAAAGGACCTGAACGGGTGTTTCTTAAAAAGGATGATCCAATGGTGACGGCTTTGATGCAACAAGCCGAGCTTCTCAGTTCATTGGCCCAGAAGGTTAACGCAGACAACACAGATCAAAGCATGGAGAATGCATGGAAGGTAAAACCCGAAAAATACAAACGTGCTTTCGGCTTTCCGAGCTTGTCAGTTACTGCAATCGCCTAAGAACTCAAAACACTTCACAAGAAATGGCGACTAATGTACTTGTAAATGACAAATCTCCCGACTTCTAATTTCTAAATTTGGACTTGTATATATATGTCAAGGTCCTCCAAGATTTCTTGAACAAAAGCAAGGAAAATGACATATTCAGATATGGAATCCCAGACATTGATTTTCAACTTGAGGAGTTTAAGGATCTGGTAGAGGACCTAAGGAGTAGTAATGAAGAGAGTCAGCCGTCATGGAGGTAAATGTAAAGTTTAATTAACAGAACACTAATTCCTATGCATTGCTTTATGGGATTTACCTTATGGTTCAGAGCCTCTAACCAGTCATGACTCATCCATAGGCAATCTGGTCTCATTGATTCCCCAGCCAGCTCTGAGTATAGTACAGGATCAACGATCATTCCGCATCAGTCCAACGATAGAACACATATACCCGAGATTCAGACAACATATGAACAAGATAAGGAGATTGTGTCTAATGCAAATGTAGATCAAGGCAAGGAGGAACTTTTTCCTTAGGAACTAGAAAATATGACCTAACATTTGGGATTTGATGAAAGATCTTGATACCTTTTTCTGCAGCAGACTTACTCTCAACTTGCGAGTTCCACGAAAATGGTGATGAAATCATGCCCATCTCAGGCGAAGGAGAGTTTTGCTCGCCTCTTCAGGTCACTCCATTGTTCAGATCTCTAGCAGCAGGCATCCCCAGCCCGCAATTCTCTGAAAGTGTAAGCTTTCAACTGTTAATGTAAACCTTATCGGTAGATCATACCTCGGTCTACCGAGACTGATTGATCTGCTCCCATTTGCAGGAGAGGAACTTCCTGCTAAAAACACTCGGGATTGAGTCCTCGTCTCCATGTCCGAGTGCTAATCCTTCACAACCACCTCCTTGCAAAAGGGTCCTCCTTCATAGCTTATAAAAAACCACCAGCCTTATATCTCACATACACAAACCTGAGATCATGTTTTGTCCCCATGCAGCCATCTAGTTTCCCTGTCTTTCTTGTTTTCTTAGATTCCTAGGTTTGCAGCCATTTCGGCCTGGAAGTTTTTGTGAAGCGGGCATACCATGATCTGCATTCCTTCCTCAGGATTTCAGTTTTCTTTTCTTGGTCTAGAATGTCAGGATACATTCTAGCCCAGCTCAGAACACTGCCAGTGTTCTGAGTTCATTTCATATACTCAGATTCTTTTTTTCTTTCTTTTGGTCCACTCTCACTCATTTGCCCCATTAGGAGAGTATTACCATCCAACCTTAACATACTTCAAGCCTTTCCAAGGCCCCCAGTGTGCATCTTCATTCATGTGTGCGTGTCAAAGATATTCTTTTGTTTGTCTTTTCGGGTACCCGGATACATCATCCGGCCATCCCCGGATTCTTGATTTGTTTTCTTGATCTGTGTACATAAGACGGTTACATAAAATAGACAGGACAAGAGGAGAAAGAAAAAGAGAAAAGGAACAAGATTTTCAGATGGGTGGAGCAAGAAAGAGCCATTTGTTTCCTGCTTTTTGAGGTGTGAGCAGAGGACATAGAAATTAAGCTCTTCGCTTAACCTCTTCCTTGTTTATCCTCCCATATGTTGTAAAAAAAACCCCTTATATTGAGTGGAAATATGATGATTTGATTTTGGTGTGATATATATATGTACATACCTCTTGTTCCTCGACATTGCACGGAGTTACCATCACGAGAACCTTAAAAAACAGAACAGTGAAGATGCTAAAAATCATAAGCATAGACAAATACAGACAAGAAGGAAATCCGACCTGTTAATAGCTTCTTCTTCCTTCTGCCTCTTCTTCCTCTTCTTCGGATCTCTTAGTGCTTCTAATAAAAGGGTCAGAGAAGAGAACAAATGAAAATGGAAGAGTACAATAAATAGCTTAACATCTTCTGATTTTGTTTCGTAGTCAGTAAAATACATCAACTAAAAAAAAAAGCATACAAGTACCCACCTCATTGGTGCGCCCGCAACGATATAAATAAACTAAAGCATACAAGTGTTGAATCTTAATGATCAATACAAGTCTACGGATTAGCTTACATAAAGATTACTATCTGTGAGCTTCTAATGGAGATAGTTACATTTTACCACTGCCTCCTGAGCTTTCTCTAAGTTTAAAACAACAAAAAATTCCTCAGGAATTAACAAATTGATGATATTTTGGCTGTAGATAGAGGCGAGGAAAAAAAAGTTCCAAAATGTAAAAAATTTCAAGGCCTTTTCTTCTTCTGCATTCTCTGCAACTTCCTCCATTTGAGGTAAATCTGGTAAGATAACCCACCAAACACCATTGAAACACATCCCCACTGCTTCCAGGAGAGTGGATTCCCGCTCAGAACCGAGGAGACCACGATGCTCACAAACTTACGGGTTGTGGTTATGGTTGTGTTAGCCAGTGACCCGAATCGACTAATCGTAAGAAAGATGAAGTTTTGGCCCACTGCGCCACATAGACAGTACATGAGAATGTCCCATGTCGCCTCTGGGTGTTGTTTGCAGAACTGAACAGCTTCGAACCCAATTGCATTTGGCCAACCAAACATGTAGATCATGTTGTATATGGTGCCCCATAAGTTCATCCCCAGCATTATGTCCCATGCATTTGTTTTCGGATACCTGAAGCCATTTAATATTACGATTATTATCTGTAGATTACAGATGAAAACGGGATTCATGTTCTAATTATGATCATCATACCTTACGGCAATAGAATCCTGGGTGGCGTTTGTGAATCCATCAAAGGCGAGGTTCAAGAAGCAAAGCCCATAACCGAGGGGAGCATTTGGATGCGCTAGCTTGTTGATTGTCTTAGAGCTTGTCTGAAAGAAATTCAAAGACACTTTACTATGGTTCTGGAGATGAGCATAGGAAAAACTAACAACATAATAATCTGAAGCATGAACCGGCTACCATACCTTAAGGAGAGCAAACATAGATACTCCTCCGGCGACAAGGAGGGTGCAAATATACTCGGGAATAGTGTATCTTATGCCATACACTAAGGTTCCCATCAGCATAACTGCGTGAAGAAATAGAAGAAGCACATGTAAGACAGACAAGAAAATCTAGATAAACAATACGATATTTTATGCTAAATCACACATGTTGAACAATCCAAGAATAATTAGATTGAAACACTAAATTAACCATTTTTACCTGGAATCATTTTTGAAGATTTTGCCAGGACCTGCACAGAGCAAGATCAACATCAATCAAAAGTAAAAAGAACCATAGCTCACCACAGTGCTACATAAGAAAAGGTCAAAACCGGATTCCACAACCTATAATACACAAAGTCGACCTCTAAGGCTCTAACTAAAATATCAACCAAACAACGGCTACACAGATGGCTGCCACACTACCAACATGCCTAATCATAACCTAAAATGGAACTGATTAAGTGAAAGAAGTAATGAACCGGCCTAAGTCTCGTCACCTGAGCTGGGTAACTGATATATTTCAAGGCTTCGATGCCCATTGCTGGACCAATCGTATTAGTAATTCCTGCGCTCCAGTAAGTCCACCAGGGCGCTCCACCGCTTCCTCCATTAGACCAGAGCTTGATCACTGCTCATTGTCGGAACCAAAAAGAAAACACTTGAGCTCCATGATTCATCGCAATCTCGCTTGTGACCATTCAATGAGCAGACACCAGAGAGAGAGTTTGAAAACTTACTTATATAAGACCAAATTAAGCACACTACATTCTGCGCCAAGTTAAGGAATGCAAGATGCTCGAATCTCTTCCCGTCCGGACCGAATCTCTTCGTGGACCTAATTCAAATGGAAAATGCAAGCTTGTGGATCAAGAACTAATTCCTACTGCTGAATCTCTATTAGTCCCAATCAAAATTCCGCAACAAAAAGCGCATTAGAAATGATTTGTAAACGACAATGCAAACTAGTGTTCCGTGAAAAGCAACGAATCCAAACCAATTCCACTCAACAAATCGAATCGAACAATGGCGACGGGATCATCAACGAGCAAAAGACGATCCCCAATCCAGCGAGAAAATGTACTTACAGAGTCTCTTGGAGAACGCCTTGGTAGATGTACGCGGCCCAAATCCCGGCGACACAGAACGCCAACAACAGAATTCGCCGGAATCCTGCACCGTGAGCCTCCATCACGATCGCCTCCGGCGATCCTCTGACTACACAGCACTATTCGGCGGCAACGATTCTAGCTTCGATACTCCTTAATTCTCGCCTGATTTCGGATTCCGGAGAGAACAAATCATGAGATGCGTAAATCGGAGACCATGAAAGTTCTTGTTTTGCAAGGGGGAAAAAAAAAGAAGTTACGGGCAGTGTTTAAGACACGTAGATTTTCCACGTGGAGTGTTTTCATTGGATAAATGATCTCACCTGGCGTTTCTTATTGGCCGTTAGGACGCGGACGAACTTGCCGCTGGTGTTCGGGTTATTGCACTGGCTTCCATGTGAGAGAGAGAAAACAAAACGACACGTCGTTTATGTCTCAGAAAACCGACACGCATGTCTCCGAGAATCATCATAACCGGGCCTAAACCAGACTCGAGTCACATGTTTGATAATTGATATGATCTTCTTGAACCATAAGCATCAATCGTATTTGATTTTAACATACAACATTAGAATATAGATACATATATATATATATATATATATATGTTAATAAAGATTATAAGCAAACAAGTGTATGACTTTAGTTTTGACTAAAATTACAAAGAGAAAGATAATATATTTTTTGGATAATTGGATATTTTAAATCAATATCTAAATTAAATTTGAGGTCGAAAATCCAATATAAACTAGTTGTTATATAGGATCTCTTGATCATAATAAAACTCAACTATAGTTACAAAAAAAGATGTTTTAAAATCTAGATATAAAATATGAGATCCATATGGTTCGCTTACAAAATATGAACATGTTGATCTCATTATGAAATTAAGATCGCTTCATATATAACTATAAAAACATACAAATTTAATATCATATATAGGGTTTGAATAGTCAAAGGGCAATTAGCTTTAAGATGCTTTACTTAGATATAAGAAATAATCAAGTTGCACCATAAATATCACCCGAGGCCCGAGGGGGAGACAAATATCATTACTTTAATCGATGCTGATGGAAAGATGCCGAATTGCAATTTTGTCCACACGTGCATTATTTTATAAAATAAAAGCCCTTTGTAATTAATCATCCAACCATATGTGAGCACGTGTAGGAATTTTTTGGGTCAATGCATGAAAAAGATATATATATATATAATATTATATATATATATATATATTTCAAATGAACTGTTTGGGGACCATCCCTTCAATTAAACGACGTTAAGCATTTATTAATTATAAAATAATTACAAGTTATTAAATTAATTACCAACATCGTAAGATGTGTGTTTTTTTTTTGTTTTTTTTAATCAATAATCATAATACACCTAGTTGGTATTTATAAATTTATCTGAATCGACACCACCAATCATTATAATTTATTATTGGCATCGTCGTCAAGTGTACTTTTACCATTTTTATAATCAACATAATACAGCAAATTTCATAAAAAAAACATAATATACCAATTTAATAATTAGAAAATCATCCGAATCAATTACCAATCGATAAAATTTATTACCAATATTTTCACTTACTATTATCCACTCAATACACTTTTTTAATGAATTGATAAAATGATAGAACCATTACCATATCATGACCAAGCCTTCTATATACAGAATATACATACGCATATGCACAGATATAAGATTTAATAGAACTCAATTTCAATTACGTGAACATAACAATCGCAAGTTGATTATATAAAAATGTCCAGAGATATAATTTCAAAAAAATTATTTTGGGATGAATAAAGTATAATAAATAATATCATCTCCATAAACAAGTACTGAATTATTCCATACGCTGTAATTGAATTTCCACGTACGTGGAATCTACATCGCAAAATCGTTGTAAAAGTGTTGTTATCACTTGGGCTGACTGCAAAAAATATCTCAAATTCTGATATTTATTTTATTTTTATTGGTAATGTAATGGTACGTGGGTTTGATGACGCAAGCATGACGGAAACAGGTAATTACCAAACGATCATCCCACTTGCTCGCAGAATGCCCATAAAGCCGCCGAATACCAAGGCCGTTATGGTCATTTCTCATGAAAAAAACCACGAGCGCGACAAGACAGAAGGGTAGAAGCGTAAATTCGAATCCTACTATACGACTTTGTATCGTGTGGTGTGTTTCTCTGCGTCTTCTGATCCTCTGTTCTTCACGTTCCTTGCTTCTTCCTCTCGTTCTTTTCCATTATCTTTTTTTTTTCTCCTTTTACTTTATCTTCTATCGCCATTAGCGCATTGAGAGGCGAGGGGACTTGGTGGCTTACAATCTTTCCTTTTTCTGGTGCCATTTCTGATAGCTTTCTGGTTTGGTCGATTGTCTGAAAAGAGACGAGCTTTGTCTGTTCGAGTTTTTATAGTCATTTTTATCCTAAGATGGGTAATTGCTTAGATTCATCAGCAAAAGTAGATAGCAGCAGCCAGAGCCCTCGCGCTAGTTCTGGTAAGTTTTCCTTTCTAACTCGAGTTTTCTCCGTTCTTTCCATAAAAAAGTTTCCTTCTTTTTCCTCCTCCTCCCCTTCATTCAATTCAATTAACTTTTTTTTTTCTTTATCAATATTGTTTCCTTGAGATTTCTTCTTATTCTCGATCTGGGTTCTCTGGATACTTTGCCGGGTCGGAGTTAATTTTCTAGTGCAAGCTAAACTTTTTACCTTTCTCGAGGATGAGCAACATGATCCTTTGTCTTGTCTGAATCTTTATTGCTTAAAGGCTTCTGATCTTTTGCCCTGTTTTGTCGGTATAGGTGATTTGGTTTGATAGTTGTTTAAGTTGCTATTTAGGGATTGAAATCGTAGAACAATCATAGGGTTCTTTTGTGTTCGATCGATGTTATATACCCTAATAACTCATTTCCTTTGCTGTTTGTAGTTTTTCTTCCTTCAATGATTGCTACTTAATGACACTTCCTTTGTTCGATCGAATCTTCTCTGCTCCTTACAGATTCGTCCGCTTCAAGAATTTCCAGCAAGACGGGTCGTTCGACGGTTCCATCCAGCCTAAGTATCGACTCTTCTTACAGCGGGAAGAGCAGTTCAGAATGTGTGTCGACTCCTCGGACAGAGGGTGAGATTCTGTCATCACCAAATCTGAAAGCTTTCACCTTCAACGAGCTGAAGAACGCAACCAGGAACTTCCGTCCCGACAGCCTTCTAGGGGAGGGAGGGTTCGGCTATGTGTTCAAAGGGTGGATCGATGGTAACACGTTTGCTGCTTCAAGACCAGGTTCTGGAATTGTCGTCGCTGTTAAGAAGCTTAAACCAGAAGGTTTACAAGGTCACAAGGAGTGGCTGGTATGCCGCAAGAACATTCACTCTCTACTCCCCACCGTTTTGATGTTTCTTCATGTTACTGTTTGACGTGTGTGTGCTGATATTTAGTTGTCTCGTTTTCAGGCAGAAGTGAACTATCTTGGTCAACTTAGTCACCCAAATCTTGTTAAACTAGTTGGGTATTGCTTGGAGGGTGAACACCGGCTTCTGGTATATGAGTTCATGCCTAAAGGAAGCTTGGAGAATCATCTTTTCAGACGTAAGTAATCTGTGGTGGAAAAATAACTTGATCTTGATGCAAAGCATTGTCATTCTTGGTGTCAATCCATTCTGTGCTCTTACACTGTCATTCTCTAGATCGTTGATAAATGATCTATGAGATGTTTAACTTAAAGTGCTATGCATTCTCTTGGTACTTAAGTTTTGAGATTCATCGAGCTTCATTGCGATTCTGTAACCTCTGTCAACGTTTTTGGTTCCTGCAGGTGGAGCTCAGCCACTTCCATGGGCAATAAGGATAAAAGTGGCAATAGGTGCTGCCAAAGGGCTTACTTTTCTTCATGAAGCGAAATCACAAGTGATATACCGGGACTTTAAGGCTGCTAATATTCTGCTTGACGCTGTAATAAACCAGAAACTAATCTGAAAAGTTTTTTCAAATGCTTCTGGAATTGGTCACATACATTTCTAATCTCTGTAAATTGGCCTAACTGCAGGAGTTCAATGCTAAGCTATCGGATTTCGGTCTGGCCAAGGCAGGTCCTACTGGGGACAAGACCCATGTTTCCACTCAGGTCATGGGTACTCAGGGTTATGCAGCCCCTGAATATGTTGCAACAGGTTTGTTCTATATTCTCATTCAGAACTTTCACAAGTTTGTGTTGAAGCACCCTTTACCTTGAATGTGTCAAAACATCTTTTCTTCTTTGGAATCAGCCAAAATTCTTCAAAAGCCCTCGACCCCTGCGAGAATTCTTCAAAGCTCTGAACTTTTTGAGTCATGGGCTTCACTCCTTTAATCCAATGGAAACGTATCTTCTTATGCAGGTCGGTTGACAGCAAAGAGTGATGTATACAGCTTCGGGGTCGTATTGCTAGAACTACTTTGTGGGCGACGTACAGTGGATAAATCAAAAGTGGGAACGGAACAGAACCTCGTTGATTGGGCAATGCCTTATCTCGGTGACAAACGTAAGCTGTTCCGGATAATGGACACCAGATTGGGAGGTCAATACCCTCAAAAAGGAGCATACACAGCTGCAAATCTTGCATTGCAGTGCTTAAACCCGGATGCAAAGATAAGGCCGAAAATGTCGGAGGTTTTAGCGAAACTTGAACAGCTTGAATCTGTTAAACCTGCATCTAAACATGCTCAGATGGAATCTCCTAGAGTTAATGCCTCTAGTGTACAGAAATCTCCTGTAAGGTATAGTCAGAACCGGCCTCTGTTGCATGTAACCCCTGGTGCTTCACCTTTGCAGTCTTACAATCACTCTCCCCGTGTACGGTGAAAGTTCAACACTTCCAGTTTCTGTTTTTGTCTGCCCTGTTGTAATAATATTTGTGTATAGGGTACAGATTTGAGTTCTTGTTATCAGCTTGTTGTGTAATTCAAGAGACGAATCTGCAAAGTATCTTAACTGATTTGGGAAAATCCCATGTAACAAGATTTTGATTTTCTTTTGTCTGAATCTGAAAACCCATTTTAAGTTTTCGTCAAAAAATCGTTTCTTCTGATTCAAGTTCTTGGTGAATACGAGAAGAGAATGTGGATTGATTAGACATGAACTGCTTGTTTCCAGAGGCAATATATGAACCCTTTTCTGTCGGCAAACATCTGAGTAAACTGGACAGACATATCAAGGAGTGTGATGAACACCAAATACGCAGAAATCACTGTAAATCGAAAGTTTCAAGCTTGTTGGATATTGTAAGACGGTTAGATTACTCTTGGATTGTCTTCTCTTTGGTTGAGGCTTTCACCTTTTCCACTCGGCTTTGATGGACTTATCTGACACAAATCGCGAAAGAGAAATGTTGAAACATGGAAGTAAACTTTTGTTCAGAAATTTCAAAACTTTGAAACAGATGCAGTGTGAAACTAATAGTTCTGCTTACCACCCGAAAAAGCTCTGTCACTGTTCATCGATCCTTTCCCTGAGGCTAAAAGCAGTCGATGTGCCCTCGGGGTCATTGAACTCAGCTTGCCGTTGGCTGAGGAAGAAGACAGAGAATGTCGCCTCTCTTGGGCAAACCTCGAAGAGCCTTGTCCCTTCACCCTGGCCTTTGCGGATTCAGTCGGCGCCATGTAACTTGGAAGCTTACGTGCACTTTGCGTAAGCCCATCATCTTGGTCATCAATTTTTGCAGGCAACGAGGCTCGTCTATCGCTTGCCTTTGTGTTTTCAGAACCGAGATTACCATTCTCAGAGCGTAACTCCACAACCGTATCATTGCCATCTTCAGCTTTGTCATTGCTCACAACAGCATTGAGCTCATCTTGCTCGGACTTTCCCAGACCTTCCGATTTCTCATCTTTATCGAAATTAGAATCCTTCGAAACTGCATTTGGGACATCGCCCTTCTTTTCCACAGGCACGTCATCAGAAGAAGCCGAAGCCTCCACATCAAGATCTTTCTGCTCTGGATCTGCATTATCTTTTTTCTTCTCAGCAGATTTATGGGTGTCTCTCTCTGGCTTCTTGAGACTAGGCTTAGGCTTCTCATCTTTAACCTCCAAAGGAGAACCCTCCATTGATGAAATAGTATTTTTTCTCGAACTCTCTTTTGCCTTGCCATTCTCAATTCGTGGAAGCTCTTTACCAACAAGTGTGGAAGCCTTCCTCACATTTCGTTTCGGTTTCTCATTCTCAGCTGTCGAATGGCCAGAGTTATTTTCAGTGTTTTGGCCAGATGGTTTCTTCTTGATGCCTTGTTTCGGCCTCCCCTTTTCTGTTTCAATCGTCTGGAAATTCCGCTTCTTTGTAACAGGTTTTGAAATCAAACTCTTACTTGATCGGGAACCAGGTGACCAAATTTTCAGTCTTGTCCAGCGTGCAAGCCAAACCTTGGCCGAATTAGGGTTCTCGTGATCATATTGGAGTTTCAGAGGTAATGCAGTTGGTGACGAAACCAGAAGCTGAAAATTCACAAAAGGATATTACAATCAAGGCTGCTTTGCATGATTGCATACCAAAAATGTGAATCAAGGAATGCAATTATACAACAATATGCAAATACCTAAACGAGACACGAACATTAACGGTACCTTGTCAATTATAGAAAGTTTTGAGGCATTCTCCATCCAACTGCATGCACTTTCTTGCAAAGTTTCAGACTTTCTGGCTTCCTAATAACAGAGAGAGATTGCAGCTTTGGTAAAAAATACAAAATGATGGCACAACTGATACATTCTTAAGAAATACATACCGTAAATCTTTCCCGAAGTTGAAGTCCGTCATCCGAAGATCTTGCTTTTTGGCCACGGACAAGGGCCTGTAACTTAACAATCCCCCAGATACATGAATATGTAGCAATAGCTTGTCTTCTGACCAGGCGACCTCGGATAACTGCCTGCAGACCGATGGTACCTTTAAGGGTTCGAAATTCCCTACGAGCCTACACGATTTCAAGACAAAACAATGTTAGAAAAATACAAAACTCGATACGGGAATCTTATATGTTTCGGCTCTCGAGCATTTATATATTCTCATGGCAAGAGGAATGGTCATCACCTGATGAGCTCTGAAAGCAGTCTGAACCGTTTTGGCGGCTTGTTCACGCGTCAATTCTCCTGAACCGGTCTCTGAATCCGGGTTAATGTTTAACTCATTGCCTACATTGTCTTCTTTCACAGAAGAAATATCGAACTCTTCACTTGGTTTTTCCTCAGTCACTACAGTGCCAGAAACTACAGGAGGATCAATGGGTAAGTTCGAGACATCATCCTTCACAGATGCCACCATTTCTTCTTTCTTAGCAGATTTCTACACAAAGGGAAAAAGATAAAATCAGATGATCACACGTTTTGGAAGGAAGGAACTCGATTTTTCAGTTCCATGTTCTTACCAACTTGTGGCTCCCTCTCGTGGAACTTGACTTCGATGGCTTCTTCCCCAGAAGATTCTTGATCCATTTATGAGGACTGGGAGTCTTTCCCATTTTAGAAAGTGAGATGCCGGCTAAGGACGGAAGTTGCTAAAACTAGAAACCTGCATAAGAACACAGACGCCATGTCTTTAGAAGTGCTGCAACAGATTCCAATTCTCAAGCTTACCACAAAACAATATCACCGGAAAGTTACGAACTTTCTTCCTCGTAATTAAGATTAGGGTGGCAATACAAACAAATTCATCCGCCTCTCTAGTTACTTATGAGTTATGATGATGATAAGCACAAGCTAGAAACAACAAAAGCTGGTAAATTTCAAGTGAAATACAACAGATAGTAAAGCCCAAAGCGAAGAAAAATCAAAACTTGAAGCTGAAAGTGAAACCTATTCCACAGCTATCAGAACCCAAAAGCAAAAAACAGAAGAAAACCAAACAGAAACCCCAGAAGCACATAACAGACCAAAACCATGAGAAACAAGAGAAGTAAACATACAGAAAAAACCCTAGAAATGTCTTGCAGCAGCTGGCGAATTCATCTGGGATTTGACGCAAATACCAGAAAAACAAATCTTTCTTACATATCAGAGCAATGGAAACGAAAATAAAGTGAAATTCCAAGCAAATTAAAGCTAAAGAAGACGAAGAACATTAGAAGTAGTGAATACCCAGATCTGGGTAAAAGCCAAAGCAAACATTTTTTTGGCCAAAGAATGGAAAGAAGAAATCGAGACGTCAAAGGGCCAATGTAGGTACCCAACAAAAAAGCCGAAGCCGAAGCTTCAAATTTGTTATCCTCACAACAAAGTTACAAAATCGCTTCTTCTTCAAATATATGCCCTTTTAGTAATTCTCTACTCACAGAGCCAATGCAGTGAGAATTACACTCTCACTGGTCAAGGAGAGAGAGAGAGAGCGCTAATGCAACATGGAGACAAATGTGGCGTAAACCGACGCCGTTTGAATGATGAGCTGGCAACAATTTGACTGGGCCTTATATTAGTAGGCCCTGTATTGTTTGGGCCCAACGTAGGAATAAATTGCTATGGATTTACTGAAATACCCTCCTTCTCCGCATTAATTTTTTTTATTTACATAAAAAGTAAAAAGAAACAGTGCAAGCTTGAATCCAGTTACCCGAAAAATCTGAACCCAACTCGAATATCTGAAAATCCGAAAATTTAGATATTCGGGTCAATTGAATATTTACTGTTCAAACCCCTAATAATATTGAAAGAGATGCATTGTGTGAAAGTTTCCTCTCTTTCTTCTTTCTCAAGAAACAAGAAATTAACACGATGATCCAAGATTTACTATTCCCATCAATCTTCGTTTTTTTTCACCATTTTATCTGAATTTCGTCGGAGAAGAAAATAACAGAGTGAAAGAAAAAATGAGACTCGAGACTCCGGCGGCGACTTCCTTCTTCCTTCTATACGCCGTCGTTTCGACCTTCATCGCCGGCTCCACGTCTGACGTCATCCTCCCGCGTTCTCCGTTCGAGATTTTTACCGGCGGGAGGTGGGATCTGCTGCAGCCGAGCATAGGTGTATCCGCCATGCACATGCAGCTCCTCCACAACAACAAAGTCGTCGTCTTTGACCGTACGGACTCTGGCCCTTCCAATCTCTCCCTCCCTTCTCAGTCCTGCCCGGACGACGTCGTTTTCGACTGCTCCGCCCACTCCATCCTCTACGACGTCGTTTCCAACACCTTCCGTCCCCTCACCCTCCGCTCCGACACGTGGTGCTCCTCCGGTTCACTCGACTCCGACGGTTCCCTTATCCAAACCGGCGGTTATGGCGCCGGCGATAGAGCCGTCCGGAGATTCGATCCCTGCTTTCCGAACGACGTCGTTTTGTGCGACTGGGCTGAGAACAGCACTTACTTGTCCTCTCGCCGGTGGTATTCCACCAACCAGATTTTGCCCGACGGGAGAATCATCATCGTCGGTGGAAGAAGAGCCTTCACGTACGAGTTTTACCCCAAGAATCTGGATAAGCCCATCTTCTATCTCAGATTCTTGGCCGAAACCAGAGACCCGATCGAAGAAAACAATCTTTACCCGTTTCTTCATCTTCTTCCCGACGGGAACCTCTTCATCTTCGCCAACAGGAGATCCATCTTGTTCGATTTCGTCAACCACACTGTCGTCAAGGAGTTCCCGGAGATTCCCGGCGGCGACAAACGAAACTACCCAAGCACTGGCTCCTCTGTTCTCCTCCCTCTCTGGCTCGATAGAGAAAGCCGCACCACCGCGGCTGAGATCATGATCTGCGGCGGCGCTCCGCCGGGATCCTTCCTCAAAGCGGCGAGGACGATCCCCAAAATCTTCGTCGAAGCGTCACGCACGTGCGGGAGGCTCAGAGTCACCGACCCGAATCCGAGATGGGTCATGGAGCAGATGCCGGCGCCACGTGTCATGTCCGACATGATACTGCTACCCACCGGTGACGTCATCATCATCAACGGCGCGACCAATGGAACCGCCGGTTGGGAGGACTCCACGAACGCGATGCTCAACCCGTTTCTTTACTCACCCGACGAACCCGACCCGACCCGGAGATTTCAGATCCTCGCCCCGACCTTGATCCCGAGGATGTACCATTCGGCGGCTCTTCTGTTGCCCGACGGCAGGATCCTAGTCGGAGGAAGCAACCCTCACCGGAATTACAATTTCACGACGAGGCCGTACCCGACGGAGCTCAGCCTCGAAGCTTATCTCCCGCGTTACCTCGACCCGCGGTTCTCGCGCCTGAGACCGTCGGTTCTGACGGTGGAGATGGCGGGAACGATGTCGTACGGAAATGGGTTCTCCGTAAATTTCGTGATTCCGGCGTACGGAGTGTTCGACGGAGGTATCTCCGTGCGGCTTGTGGCGCCGTCTTTCAGCACTCACTCGACGGCGATGAACCAGAGGCTGGTGGTGCTGCGCGTGAGGCGCGTGATGCAGTTATCCGTTTTCGCGTACAAGGCTGACGTGGACGGGCCCTCTAATGCCAACGTGGCACCACCGGGTTATTATATGATGTTTGTGGTCCACCGTGGAATCCCCAGCGAGGCTGTTTGGGTCAAAGTGGCTCGACTCTAGCGCTCCTTCTGGGCCGCCGAGAGGGTTAGACACTGCGACGTCGTTTTATCGTTTTCTGATTTTGAGGAACGTAAACATTTTGTAGATGAATATAATAATGGAACTTGAGAGATTTTTGTTGGAAAAAAAAAGTATTATCCCTTGCTTTTGTAGATAAATGTGCAAATAATCAACCTAAATTGGATATCGATGATCTTATCAAAATATTGTTCATTCGGATTTTATTCCCAAAAGCATTATAGTTAGCTCAAAATACTGAACTGTCTTGTAATGACTTTTTTTCTTCTTTTTGTTGGTCCATAATCTATCTAATCCCGGCAATAGTACATTTTGATCTATCAGCAAACTCTGAGGGGTTATTCGATACCTAAGATAACTATTGGGGCTAAATCTATAATATATGATAGGTATTGGGGTCATTCTTGAATTAAGGAAAATAGCTGTATTCGTCCACATAAATGACGGTTCCGTGATAGAAAAACGGCGTGTAGTTTCGATTTAGAACAAGCTTTCTCGGGTTCCTCTCGTTTAAATATCTTCTTGAATCACTGTCGCTCTGTCGAGAATTCTTTGAAGAGAGTTAGGATCGAATTAGAGGTTGAAGAAAAAAATGCTAGGAGGAGGAGAAGAAGTGAGCATCGAAGAGCTTGCTTCGAATCTCTCTACGTATAAGGAGCAGCTCGAACAGGTTCGGATGATTTCTTTTTTTTTTTTTTGGGACTGTTTCGATTTTGATGTGCCTCGGGTTTCTCGGAACTTATCGTATCTCTGGCACCTTAAAGCTTGAAAATTGGTTCGATGTATGGAATTTGGGTTTCAGATTCCATGCAGTGGGTTATTGGTTATTGTTTCTGGATTAGGGTTTGTATTCTCTGATGAGTAACATTGCCTCAAGTTTGGTTCTTTAGTTGTCGGATTTCATTGGGTTTTATATTGGAAGTTCGATTGTTCGTCGGATGAGCTTAACTAGGTTTTGAATTCGGGGATTATCCTTTCGTGTTGATCTGCTGGGTCATTTGTTCAGCCTCATATCGAAAATTGTCTTTGTTATACGATAATGGTTTTGACTTGTCAGGGACGCAGGGTTTCAAAATTTTGTGCCGTCGTATCATGATTTTTCTGATGGAGGGGTAAAGGGAGTTGCTTGGAATTGAATTATTTCGTTACTGTGTTTCTTGAGGGTTTGGTTTAGACAGTCTAATTGTGATATTCCTCTACTTTTTTTTTGCTTAAATTATCTGATGGATTCAACCGTACACTTCTATGATTTCAGGTTGGGCTTCTTTTGGCTGATGATCCCGGAAACTCTGAATATGGGGACATGGAAAAAGAACTTACAGAGGTGATTTTGCTAGGTTGAACTAATACTTATTTTTTGGTCGACTTGATTTTTCCATCTCCATCTATCTTTCCGCGTGATTAAATGTCAGTATCTTCGATAAACTTTTAGTTAAGGTATATCTCCGGATTTTGGGGGAAAAGATACTGTCAAATAGCTTATGTGATTTGGACGTCATGTTTTGCGATCACGCCCTTCGTGTTTCTTTCCCTCTTTGGAAGGAATCAGTCTTTGAGTTGACTGTAACTCAGAAAATGGTATTCAGATGAGTGCAAAAGCGTTCGTTGTTTAATATGTTAATGATGGACAACCTGCTTCTGACACCTGATTTCTGGCATTCGATCCCAAAGTTATAAGTCTAAATAGTTTGATGTCAAAGAAGTGGGGAATGAAGTCTTCAAAGATTTTGTTGAAACGTGTGACATGCAGGTGATTGCATTGACGGAGGAACTTCTTGCAACTGCAAAGCAAAATGAGGTTTATCAACCAGATGCTGGAACAAGTACTGGAGGACCTGATTTTCCTGAGTCTGTAAGTAGAACGACCGCATGTATCTTTACTCATCTCATCTCTTTGTGTAGTCATGTAACTCGTAGGCTCGTAGTGAATCCTCTTAGATCAATTCAGATAATGGGTGGACATGCATACATGAAAGGCTGTGTTTTATAATTTTTTAAAATTGGGTCTTTGTTATCCAAATCTCGCTGCTTATTATCTGTGACCAATATTTGATGGGTTACATAATGTGTTCAGGAATCAGAGAAAATCCAAAATCATCAGGGGAAGTTTCCCGTTGGAACAAAGGTTCAAGCTGTCTGGAGTGAAGATGGAGAGTGGTACATAAAAAGGATCTCTGGTTTCTTGCTGTTCTGACTTATTTACTGTTTTCTGTTACCTCCTTTACCCTTTTTCTTTGTTTGATTAGTTAATTGTTCAGGTATGATGCAACCATTGAGGCACACACTCTAAATGGCTATTATGTTACCTATGATGAGTGGGGAAACAAGGAAGAGGTACACTCGCATTTCCATTTCCTTATTTTATTTTTGTTAGTCAAATCTTAATCGTCTCTTCTTTTTTACAAAGTGACTGCTTATTGCTTCAATCCTGGTATGGATGCTTGTCACTTCTCTCAAATTTCAGGTTGATCCCGACAATGTAAGGCCGATTGAGTACAATGCTCTCTTGGAAGCTGAGAAAGTAGCTGAAGAAACGAAACGAGCTCTCAAACGGAAGATTGAGCAAGCTGCAAGTGCTGACTTTCAATCTCGAAGTTTACCAGCGAAGCTCAAAATTGATCCTAATGATCCTGATGATGTGGTAAAGTGAAATTTTATTCATTTTGCTTTTTCCCTTTAAATTTACTTACTGTATGAGAAAGCCACTGCTTTAAAAATCCCAGAATCCAATTTTATTCGCAGTACAATAAGATGAGAATGCTCCTGTTAAAAATATAAAAATACAATATATGTAGTTTTTATTTGGTATGTATACCAAAAAACGGAAAAGACTTGTATCATTTGCTGTACTTGTACAGAAAACGGCAAAGAAGAAGAAGATACATGCTTTCAAGTCGAAGATGCGGCAGGAGCAACTCGAGGTTGCACAGAACAAGAGACAGAATGCCTGGCAACAATTCCAGACGACCAAAGCCAAGACTAAAAAGGTACTGGCACATTAACATTCGTAGCTTTACCATCAATAGCTTACCCCCGAAAAAGAGGGAATAAATGAGTTTTACAGCACAAACACGAAACAATATGTTTCAATTTGAAGGGTTTTTTACTGGGGGGTCGTTGTTGGGATTAGGTGGGTTTCTTCACGGGGCGGAAGAAGGAGAGCATATTCAAATCCCCGGATGATCCGTTTGGGAAGGTGGGTGTTACAGGAAGTGGCAAAGGTTTGACGGATTTCCAAAAGCGAGAGAAGCATTTGCATCTCAAGACTGGCAACGTCGAGACCACCGAAGATTGATTGATTATATGCCTCAAAAGCCGATAGACACAGGTATTTTCTGTTGTGCAATCCTTTGGCCATTTGTTCTACACCTTTTGTCTCACCTGACTGCGTAGTCCTCATGAAAAGAGGGTATGGTTTTACATTTCAATCGGTCTCTTCACTCGCATTCTATCCTCGTTATGAGATTTGATCATCTGAACTCAGTATTAGTATACTGGTGCTATTCGGTTCTAGAGGATGTGTGTTCTTTGATGGATCACATAGAATGTATTCAAATGGTTAGAAATGGATAATCTTGTGGGAGGAGGAGAGAGAGAGTCTTAGTTCAATAGATTATGATTTTTTTTTCATAACATTGTCAGAAATGAAATTTATGAAAAAACATGTTTTTTTTTTTCCTTTCAAAATGATCTATATAAATATAAAAGAAAAGTAACACAGGTGAAGTCTATCAATATCAAAGCAGTTGGTGGTAGTAGGATTTGCCATTTGAAGCAGGGAATCCAATTCCCATGGAGCAGAGGAGATAACACGCAATCAGTACGAGGATTAGAAATAAATAAATAAAGGGATTCAGCATATCAAGTCATCGTACGGACATTTATGGCGTAATGACCATCAGTGTTCTTCAGGAGAGTTCAGCCATGAATAAACCCAAAACAAAACAAAAAAAAAAGCTTAATGATCCCTTAAATTTACTGTTTTTTTTTTGCTTACGTAGAGGCCAGTCCAAGAGGGCAGGGGATCTCAGAAGGAAACTGGACCAGACCGCCATGTTTGTTCGTTCCTGATTCTATAGTCGTCTTAAACCATTGAATGCCATGCCACACTGTTTGGAATTGGCTCTGTAGTCCCGTCAGTAGTTGTAAGAGTGGGTTCGGTTGGTCAGAAGAAACTTTGAATGCATTTAAGCACTCGGTTCTTTGGGAGATGACTTTTGAAAAACAATCTTTGCGTTTAATTTTGTTTATCAGCTTCGATCCTTGAGTTCCTTGCACATTTTTACATTTGTTTGCTTAAAGATAGCAAATGGGTTGTTGTTGTTTTGTTCCCCTCTTAGGCTTCGAAGAATGGATTGGAGCCTTCGGGGTTGGTTCCGCTTGCAAGTTCCAAACGTTTTAGTGAAGTGTTGTTGGCCAAACGGACAAATAATTGCCTTGTGGGGGGAGATTCTGTCTGGTTGAAGCTTTTTCTTATGCATATAGATCAGGAACATGAGGGACCTCTTATTTCAGGAGGTAGAGACATCTCCATTAATGGAGCTTCCCCTCACTCACACACATTAAATATGGCTTCAGATATATATATATATATATGTGTATATGTATGTAAATAGAGTCACTAGTGAAGCCAAAAAGCCCTTGTAAAAGAAAGGGCAGAAGAGTAGCTGGCCAAATCATTCTTCTCTATTTATGACTTTTGCTTCCCTTAATTATTAAACAGAAAATGCCGTCAATATATATATATATATATTTTTAATATTTACTTATTTAGATGTTATTTTCTTCTCCTCTTCTTCCACCCATGTGAACTTGTTAAAAGTCATACTGTAATCCCACTATAATAACAGATAATATATAGTCTTTAATTTTATCATCATGTTTAATATATATATATACAACTGGTCGGTACCAAAGTTTTAATAGGCTCGCAATCATAACAAACTATACTTAATTAAGCCTTCCAATTCAACATTTTTTTAACTTTATATATTTTTTTTCGGCCTCATGGGAAACATTCTGTGGAAAGGCGGAGAGAAACCCACAAAAGGAATCTGGTGAATATTGCCATAATAATTATAAACACATGAGATCCATGATTTTTTTTTTTGGGGGG